ATACTTTACCTTCTGCCTGGATTCCTGCCTTCTTCCTTCCTTCACTTGGCAAACTTTTGGGACATCTTTTAGGTCTCAACTTAAGTGTCACTTGCTTTTTGTTGACATCCCTGTCCCCATCAGTATTATGTCCTCATGCTGCAGCTTCACCTAGCACCATGAGCTTTCCCTCATATTGTTACCCCAGTTTGTTAATATCTGTGTGCTGGTCAGGAACTGGAGCATCAAAGCATTTTCTTTATTACTCTATCTCCAGAGCAGGCTTCTTTCTTTCTTTTTTTATAGTATGTGGGGGGAGCTCCATTCTTTTTTTAAAATTTTTATTTATTTATTTTTACAGAAAGGAAGGAAGAGAGAGGGAGAGAAACGTCAATGTGTGGTTGCTTCTTGAGCGCCCCTAACCGGGGACCTGGCCCGCAACCCAGGCATATGCCCTGACTGGGAATTGAACCGGTGACTCTGGTTTCCAGGCCAGTGCTCAATTCACTGACCAGCCAAGGCCAGAGCAGGTTTCTGAATAAATACATGCTCTCAGGGAAGGGAGTGAAAGTTGAAGAAAGTGTTTGCTCCCTCAGGTTACATGAAACTTCATAGAGCAGTTGGTCGGATTAATGGCCCAATACGTGTTAAATGCTCAGACTATACCTGTACATGTAACAAGTTGGAAAACAAATCTTTTTTTAAAAAGCCTGATCAGTCCACAGCCATAACAATAACACCCTGAAGACTCCTGATCTTGACTGACCTCGTAAGCTGAGCAGGGTCAGGCCTGGTTAGTACTTGGATGGGAAAAAGCCTGATCATAAGGAGCTCTGGGGGATTAAAATGTTTCAAGAGGAAGATGCCAGCCTACTTACTTCAGTGGATTCCAGGGAGGCCAAAGGCTCTGGGCCACAGTCACATACAGACGGCCTGTAGACGTGCATTAATTAGCCCACACAGAGTTGGGTGTGTTTTTTTCCCTTACTTTAAAATTTTCAGTTGGATGCTTTCCTTTAACAATCAGATTTGATATATAAGTCCAGATTTCTGGCACTCAGTCCACTGAGCCACACCAGCCAGGGGTCATCCTTTGTCCTTCCATTTTTCTAGACAGGATAGGCCCTTTCAGTGGCTTCGGGCTCCGTTCGGGCTGCTCCGTCTGCTTGGAATGCCTTCCCCGACTTCCCTGCTTGAAACCTCGTGGCTGATAGGTCATTCCTTTTTGTGTTTTCTGCTAGAAATAGACTGACCCAACTTTGGATCCCAGTTCAGGCAAGTGTAGAGTCCTGTGGCATACATTTTGGGTAATATTCTTGGTTTCTTATTTTTTAAGCCTAATATTTAATTCACTCTGGTTTTTTCTTTTACTTGCTTTTTGTGTTAATACAGTATTGTATTTGAAAAGCTTCTTTGTGTCCTTTTGAGTATATAACTCGGGATAAATAAATATGCTTATGGCTTGCCTGACAACTTAGTTTAAATGTCAGCTTCCTCACCCCAAGTTAAGTGCTCTGTTTTCCTCTAGCGCTTTAGTGATATTTCTGTAAAAGCACTTAACAGTATAATTTTTCAGTTTACATGTCTGTCTTCCTCCAGCTAAACTGTGCTTCTCCAGGGCCGGTACCATGTTGCACTCATCTCTGTACCCCCAACATCTAGCAAAGTTGGCATGTACTAGGCACTCAAGAAATGTGTGTTGAATGAACGATGCCTGTGACGAGCAACTGGACTTTATTCTTTGCTGACCCTTGCTCCTATGACACCTCCTCCTGGCTGCCACTGTCCTTCTTTCAGAGCAGATCTTCTCTAGAGAAGCTGGAAGGGAAACAGGTGAGGCTTAGAAAGGCGGAGGCAGAGGGGTGGGGGAGCCTTCGGAACTTCTGGGTTTCTGGTATTGGTGTCTAGGGGCAAGAGTGGGGTTGAGCTGGAAGCAGGCATTTCCTTGGGTGGCTGGGAAGTGATCAGGTGTCAGGGTTGGTTTCTTTTCAGCAATGGCCAAGGACATCCTCAGTGAAGCAGGGCTGCACTTCGATGAGCTGAACAAGCTGCGGGTGTTGGACCCAGAGGTTACCCAGCAGACCATAGAACTCAAGGAAGAGTGCAAGGACTTTGTGGACAGTGAGTATCATTTGGGAAGGCATGTTGCCACTCAGCTTTGAGCTATTTCAGCTGTGCCACACCCTGACCTCCCAACCGTTGCTCTTGGCCCTGCCAGAATGGAGCTGCCGGCTCCTGGAGGTCGGGCCCAGGCTCTGGGGGTTCCCGTGTGCCATCCGCCTGACCTGTGTGCCCTTATGCTCTCATGTGGTCCCACACGGAGCACTAATCAAAACAGACACTGGGATGCAGAGAGGAGGGGTATTTTTGGAGATAACCCTATCTTTGAGTTTTTTGCTCTCAGGAACCTTAAACTTCTTGGAGGTAGAACTATGGCTTGGGGGTGGGAAATAGTTATATACTGATGATTTGATTTCTTGGGAGAAATTGTATTCTCAGCGGTAGGCTTATTTGTATTGGGAGTGGAAGTTGATTAACTGGAGTCTCTAGAAGCAGCTCAACAGACCTCGTTTAGTCATTTTTTAACCAGAGAGACCCAGGATACCCCCCGTTCCAGCAGCCAAGCCAGCCCAGTGGCAGTGAATATAGAGCAGCTCCAGCTGGAGTGGGGTTTCTGAGCCTCCTGATGAGAGGTAGGGCGAGTCCTGCGGGCCGCCTCTCTGGGTCTTAGTTTACTCCTCAGTGGAATGGGCTTCTGCCTTACCCACGGATACTGAAAAAAAGGGAATGGGAGATTAAGCACTTAAATGCTTTGAGCTCTTTATTCGCTGTGGCCACGAGTGGACAGCTGCCACCCCACCGTTAACTAAGATGCAGTGTTTCTGTCCTGAGGAAGTCCTTTCGTGAACGTGGCCCTTTGTGTCTCCTATCACTCCTGGGAAAGTAGGATGGGGTCCATCCACAGAACGGGCCCACCGGGAGCCTCCAGCCTGATGTGACAGCAACCGGCTGGCTCAGTGGGCACTCAAGATCCCAGAGCTCCCCGGGCTACTCTGGACACCCAGCTCCTCATCCCTAGGTTCAGACCGAGGGTGGCAGGCTTCAGCCAACAGGCACAAATTGCTTTGACACAAATTCGGAAGGGCAGTTAGTTCTGCCGTCTTGCTGAAAGGGAATGCTAAGGGACAGCCATGACACTGACACAATAAAAACATTTTTTTCTTTCCCTAAAAGAAATTGGCCAATTTCAGAAAATAGTTGGTGGTTTAATTGAGCTTGTTGATCAACTCGCAAAAGAAGCAGAAAATGAGAAGATGAAGGTAAGATCAGCATGTGTTTAATCTCGGTCTTGGCCTGGGGCCCTGGTTACCAGTCTGTCATCCTTCTGCCCCCTTGACTTTTCTGTGTGGAGGGAGGGAGGGGGAGTCTTTTCATTAAAACAAGATTTTAAATGGCATTTTCCGTACCGGTATTAACTCATTATGTTGCATACCCGAAAATTACATGTCAGTTATCTCAGTTTTTTTAAAACAACGGTTCCTGGTCCAGTTAGCCTACTGTTGACCTCTACATGGCAGTACATTTTCAGCCATCATTTCCTTTAATCTTGACATCACCACGGACATACATGGTTTTATCCTTATTTTATAAATGAAGAGGTGAAGGTGTGTGGAGTAGAGATGACTTGGCAAAGGACACAAAGCTAAGTGACACACCCAAAGGGGCACTGAACACATGTGTGCCACACTCTGGGGACACCCCTAGGTCTGCCTCCGAGCTCCAGACCAGTTCCCACTTCGGAGTCAGAAGGTGAATCCTATTCCTTTCTCCCAAAGCTCTGGGGCTCAGCCTTTTCCCGCTGGGCAGTGAGGTAGCCCCCAAATGGCCCTTACACAGTCGAGGACTGAGTGCTGAAGGTGGTTTTAATGAAGCCGTGACCTTCTGTGGTGACACTGTTTTTCTAGGCCATTGGTGCTCGGAATTTGCTCAAATCTATAGCAAAGCAGAGGGAAGCCCAACAGCAGCAACTCCAAGCACTAATAGCAGAAAAGAAAATGCAGCTCGAAAGGTAAGTTAGGTAAAGCGGGGTCTCTCAACTACAGTTCTCCTTTTCCTTCTTACCAGTCCGCTCTGGTCCTCGTTCTTTTATCATCCTTCTCCCAGGAACAGTGTCACTTGTCCTAATTTGGAGATTTAAAAAATGAAATTACATTTGATGGGGAGGAAAAAGAAAATGTGCCAATGTCAAAACATCTGTAGTTGGTGGGAGCACGAGCGCCAAGTAATGAGCATGCGCGGAGTTGGCTGGCTGGCTCCGGGAGCACTGTCAGGGCTGAAGGTCCGTCACGCGTGGGCCTGTGCAGGGCTTTGCACATATGATCCTCTCTGCCGGTCCTAACTACTGCATTCCACACTAACGCCGTTTCTCAGTCGTTTAAATCACCTGTATTCTTCTCTAGAAGAATTAAGTGCATAGTTTATTTCATCCATTTTTAGGGCTTCTAACAATTTTGTTTTTCAGGTATCGGGTTGAATATGAAGCTTTGTGTAAAGTAGAAGCAGAACAAAACGAATTTATTGACCAATTTATTTTTCAGAAGTGAACTGAAAATTTCATTTTATAGCAGGAGGGCAAAAAAACAAAAACCTCTGTACCATTCCAGTGACTCTGACTAATGACCTACTGTGTCATTCGAGAGGCGGCCCTCCATAAGGAGGGCAGCGCCTCTGAAGGCAATGAAACAAATCTGGGGGGGCTTGTTCCAGATGCCTGTGCGGATCTGGTGAACACCTGGTGACCACAGCGGCCCAGGTTTCCACCTCTTGCATTCTTTGTCTGAGAAAGTCTGTAAACGTTGATTTTTTTTGTAAGTTTATAAATCTTTGGAAGAAAAAGCAATAAATTGTTTTCAAATGGCTTATCTACCTCTTTTCCTGCGGTGCCCTTAAAATGTACACTTAATGCCTTATAATAGAACCTTGGACTCAAGCCCCTCCCTAGCCCACAAAACAAACCAGGCAGTGGTCAGCAGCTACCTTTATTTGGACTGGACACGAGTCACATGATACTCCCAACCATTAGAACAATACAATGTATGAGCAGAAAGGCAAAGACAGAACTGGGACCATCCCAATTTCTACTGCTGTCTCTATGTGTTCACAAGTTTTATTTTTTTAATTTAATTTTATTTTTTTAAAAAAGGTTTTTATTTTCAAAGAGGGGAAGGGAGGAAGAAAGGGGGAGAAATATCAGTGTGTCGTTGCCTCTCACATGCCCCACACTGGGGACCCGGCCGCAACTTAGTTATGTGCCCTGACGGGGAATGGAACCAGGGACCCTTTGCTTTGCAGTCCAGCACTCAATCCACTGAGCCACACCAGACAGGGTTTATTTTCACTTTTTGGAGTTAGCCTTGAGTACGAATTCAGAGAAAGCTAACAGAACAGCAGGCACTGACGTGGAGACGCTCTCTGTGCACACACTGGACATGCCAGGCCCGCTGGCCCGTTCGGATGCGATGGAACGGTCTGCACAGGTGAAGTTACTCAGGAGGAAGCATACTTTCAGATCGGGTTTGAGACACCAGACCTCAGAGGAAGGAAACTTCTGTCACGTGGTAGGTAAAAATATAGGATTACGGTTTGGCAAGTGGATAAACAAGACTTTAAAAAAAATCTCTCCTCCTTGGATGCTGTTTAAGACAGGAGCAAGACATCTAGTTTTGTCCATTATTGACTGAAAGTCATGCCAGGGCTGAACCTTAAGGAACACTTAAGTTTAAACTTCTTGTAGAATCAGATTACTTTCTCCTGCTGCCCCCTACCCAGCAGGGTGGGGGCAAGAAATAGTTTTTAATGAATATTAAAGAGGCATAATTTCAAACTTAAAAATGCCCCAAAACATCCCACTGTGCATTCTGCTAATGAATAGTGATGGAATGGAATCATGAGTCAAGGGATCAGTCACATGTATATTGTGGACCAAGTGATGCATGAAGATGCCGAGCAGGACGTGTTTCTTAGCAGTTTATCCAGTTTCCGGTCTGGTGCTGCTGTTAGTAATTCTGCAGTGGAACCCGGGCACATAGTGAAATACTTGGCACCACTTCCCTATTACCAAGCCCACACCCCCTGCCCACCCTCAGGTGATCGATCTGTGCTGGTGCCCTTAGAAGGTGATGGTTTGATGTGGCTCCTGCTGCCCGTATGTTTCAAATGCTACTGAAGACGTGGGTTCTGAGCAGTTTTCCTTGTACTGGGTCCAACAGGGAACTGTCCTGTGGGCATCTCTCTGCTGGGCCAGTAGTTCTTGCTCTCATTTTTTCTTTCTTTTCTCCTCATACCTGTAGTAGGGGCTCCGCAACATGAAAAGCAGAAGCATAAGAGGGATCAGAAAGTAGGGGGCATAGACACACATGAGGACTAGTCGTTCGTGAAAAGTCTTTGGTCCTTGCCCTTTAAAAGCACTGGTCTTCGAGAAATCCTCCCATAGAAGTGTGGAGAGAATGGGAATTAGACTTGTCATGGTGTGGACCGAGTAGATGATCGCAGGGGTGCGGATCCACTTGCAGCCTCCTGAAGTGGTCGGGGGAAGAGAGAGAGAAGCATTAGGTCTGCTCTTGACTGCAGGGTGCCCATGACCTTCCCCATGTTGTCTCTGCCTGCTCCCTTCAGCTGAATCATTCCACCTCCTTTTCTAGGTGGAAACAAATGGACCATTAGAAACAGATGTGTTCTAATGCTGCCTAACTGCGCAAATTCACGTGACAGCGGGGCCCTAACACACTGACTGCCAAAGAACCAAGGGTGGGGGGGTTGGACTTTCATTCAGAAAAACTCTAGGCCAGTAAAAGTTAAACCTGTTTGGTCTAAATGTGTGGGTGGGGGGTGTGGCCAGTGGCATCTGTTAAGTAATCACAGCATATGTAGGTGAGAAGATCAGTCGATGCTGCCAGTAGATGGGTTTGGGAGGCTCCGGTGGGAAATAAGCTGTACAAGCTTAGTTACCAGGTTCGTAGGTATGACCACCTTCTTTATAAAAGCATCAGTCAAATGGGGACACTGTAAGAATAATTTTTAAATAAGAAGTTAAGCCTTTTAGGAATTAGCTTGATGCTACCGCTTATTCTACTACCTAAGGCAGAAAAATAAAAGCCACTGATAAAAGAAAAATTCAGTGATTAAAAAAAAAGAAAGAAAAAGCAACAAGGTCAGTCTTTCAGTAGTCTCAGGTTCCCCACGTCTGAGAGATGCCCATGGGCGGAGGCAGTCATGCAGCCCGCTGACCTCAGGCGTGAGTGGAGCCACACTGAAGTCCCTTTAGAGGAGCTGTCCTGGCCACTCCCACCAACCAGATCCTCTGTCACCCTCACACAAGTGCAGGAACCACTCCTCTCTCCTTGGGAGATAACTTTCCCGTAAGATTTCTGGGACCTGATTTCAGAGCAAAAATGCGATTTCCCCACCATTTACCAACCTTTGAAGAAGGCGTATGTCGCAATGGGAAAGAAAGGCAGCTGAAACACAAGCTCACCAAACAGGAAGGATTTAAACCATACTGGGGGGTACTGCATCAGAGGGTCTTTGAACTCTTTAGTGTACCACTTCAGCAGGTTTCTCAGCTGGAAAAAGATAAAGATCACAATGAATACAACCACTTGGCAGGGACAGGCTCGGCAGCTCCAACCCACTAGAAGAGTCTTTCCTTACCCAACCCCCTTGGCAGCAGATGGCACACCCAGCTGGCTTTTGAGGTGTAGCCGAGATGGTCATTTAATAAAAACTCACGCCATGGCTGATGTGGCTCAGTGGACTGAGTGCTGACCTGCAAACTAAAGGGTCGCTGGTTCAATTCCCCATCAGGGCACCCGCAGGTCCCCAGTTGGGGGTGTACCAGAGGCCATCACACATTGATGTTTCCCTTGTGCTCTTTCTCCTTCCCTTCCCCCTCTCTAAAAATAAGTAAATAAGTAAAAACTGACTAGATCTAACTCAAATGGTAGCTTCTCCAAGCTTTCCTCAGCTCTTCCAGGACCTTTGTGCTACCCAGCAGTTGTGACTCCATGATAACCCTTATGTAGATGTGCTGCCCATTGTCAAAAGCAATATCTGGCACTTCATGTGTGGGTGCCTCTCATTCGTCCCCCACTGGGGACACAGCCCACAACCCAGGCATGTGCCCTGGCCGGGAACTGAACCAGCGACCCTTTGGTTTGCAGGCCAGCACCCAACCAGGGCCAATTTTAGACAATTTAAATAATCCCCAAACCTCAAGTTCCTTATCATTCTTAACTTCCTAGTTCTCAAGGTTTTTTCTTTTAGACCTGTAGGATATCTGTAGAACAGGCTCTTCCCCAAACCACAAACTATATAGCTTCTAGGCTCTGGCAAAGCTTGAGACGGCAGCCGTATTCTAGCTTGGGCCCCACCGTCATAATTATGCTGTGAAATCAAAAGATACAGATCCATGCTGACCTGGCTACAAGCAGAGAGAGGAAGTAAGAGGGCTGGAGGCTTTTAAAGGAGCCCAGACGAAGCTCAGGAATCCTCACATGAAGGTCTATTGCATTGAACCTCCTGGAAACGTCACTATCTGGACACATCCGCCTTCAAAGCCAAATATGTCTTTATATTACGATAAATAAAGGCAACTTCCAAAGTAAAAATATGGCTTATAATGGAAAATCCAAAGATACTTTTCCTGTTAATTTTTAATCAAAAGATAAAGGCTCAATATTGTTAAATAGAGGCCTCACTGCTGTGAGTGAGCTTTAAGTGTTTACCTAGAGACAACATTCTGTTGGCACATTAACTTCAGAAAGGATCTGGCTGCATAACCAATGTATTGACCAAGTGAGTTCTTAATCTGTACTTGACTTGAAATTTAAATTTACGGCAATACCCTTAGCTTCCTTCTGGGCACTTTTCAGGCAGTAATGTAGAAAATATTCATAAAGGTTAGGTCACTGCACCTCTTCTGGGCTCTATTTCCTCACCTGTAAAACAAGCAACTTGGACTAAGTGGTTTTTGAAGATTTTTTCCCTAGCTTTACTTTAAAACATTTACTGCAGAATTTAAAAGGCATTCTGGTTCATGTCAACTTCCTTTTCTATTCAGTTTGTATCCAGGCTCTCTGGTCCTCCTATTTCATAAATCCAGGTAGATTTCTACAGTGCTATAATCTCTAAAGGCTGCATGATGAGATTAGTAAAATTTAAAATAGTCAGCCTGTTCTTGTAATCAATTAGGACACAACCACCTGCTCACTGTCTCCTAACAGCTCACCTGATGCCAGAAGGAAGGCTGGTGGAAGGCAAGGCACAGGCCCTTAGCGGAGTGAAGCAGAGCGTGGGCCCTGGTGGCAGAGCGCCTGGACCGGTGTGCCGGCTCCAGACCAAGCACTTAATCTCGCTAAGTTTGGTTCCACTGCAATCATGGAACCTGCTGCACAGTTGGCAAGATAAAACCAGCTAATACATACAGTCTCTGGAACAATGACTAGCACTGAAGTTACTAGATTGATTGTAATTAATATATATTTGGAGAGGTTTGAGTTTAATCCTATTAACACCTTGACATGCGACTGCTCATTAATAAGAACTATTCTTTTTTTTTTTGAAGATTTTATTTCTTTTTAGAAAGAGCAGGAGGAGAGAGAAAGAGAGGGAGAGAAACACTGATGTGAGAGTGAAACATCAATTGGTTGCTTTTTGCACACTCCCAACAGGGAACATGGCCCACAACCCAGGCATGTGCCCTGACTGAGAATGGAACCAGAAACCTTTTGTTTTGCAGGCTGATGTTCAATCCACACAGCCAGACCAGCCAGGGCAAGAACTTTTCTTATTAGGTAATAAGACTCCCCCGCCAAAAGGTAGTAAAACTGTTTCCATTTATACCTGAGTCACAGTGGACTCAACTTAGCACTGTTATCCATTAAAAATACTCAGCTGGGCCTGTGTTCGCGGGATTCTAAACCAGGAGCTGCTAAACAATTTTGCATTGCTCTGGCTTAGAATGAGAGCACAGACTGATTTCAGACCCAGATGCTGCCTGTTTTCCTTATTTTAAGAGAAGCAATGCTACCCAGCCTCAAATGATACTCAAATTGCTTCCCATTCTCTCCAAGTTCTAACCCAGCGATTTTCTACCTTTTTCATCTCACATCACACATAAACTAATCACTGCAATTTGGTGATGCACCAAAAATATATTTTCTGCCAACTGACAAAAAAAATAGTTATAATTTTGATTCACTCACACTAGATGGCAATTGTTGTGTTGGCTATTGTCATTTCTTGTTGGTTTCTTAATAAGATTTTATTTATTTATTTATTTTTAGGGAGAGGGGAAGGGAGCGAGAAGGAGGGAGAAAAACATTAATTGGTTGCGTCTCACACCCCCCCTAACTGGGGACCTGGCCTGCAACCCAGGCCTGTGGCCTGACAGGGAATCAAACTGGCAACCTTTCAGTTTGCAGCCCGGCACTGAATCCACGGAGCCATTCCAGCCAGGGCTACTGTTATTTATTTGACAGTCTAAAGGAAAAGAGGTCTGTGCCCCTGACTGAATTAGTTTGGTATTGCATGTTTTAAAATTTTTTGGCCCTGGCCAGGTAGTTCAGTTGGTTAGAGAGTCATCCCAATACATCAAGGTTACACGTTTGATCTCCAATCAGGACACATACGAGAATCAACCAATTGAATACATAAATAAGTGGAACAACATATCAGTGTCTCTCTCTCAAAAATCAATTAAAAATTTTAAAGATTTTATTTATCTTTAGAGCAAGGGGAAGAGAGAAACATTGATATTTGAGAGATACATCGGTGGCTTCTCACCCACCCCCAACTGGGGACCTGACTCACAACCCAGGCATGTGTCCCAAGCAGGAATTGAACCAGCAACCTTTCTTTCAGTTCTCAGATGGGCACTCCATTCACTGAGCCTCAGCAGTCAGAGCTAAAAAAAAAAAATCTTTTTTTTTATCTCTTGCTGCACACTGGTTGGAATTCGCTGTTCTAATCCAAACTAATTCTTACTGTTTCATTATAGTTTTTCTAAGTGTTGCTCTGGTTCGAACTAAGAAAGATTTAATTTGCAAGTTTTAGCCCAAATATGTGGGCATTTTAGTTCTAGGGAAAAATTCCTTCTATTTAAGGAGAAAAAAAACAACAGATGTTAAGTGTTGGCATATTTTCAAGGAGAATCTGAGAATAACTGAAGGCTATCATATCACACTATTTTACCCAGAGAAGCAACTAAAGTATCATTTGCCGCCCTAGAGCAAGAACAACTAGAAACAACAGGCCTTCCAAGCCAGGATGTCCATGTTTCAAATGCCTTCAAAACAGCATCACACACTAAGATACACACACACACACACAGAGTTTCTGGCCAGATCCTACCTGCATTGGCCCTTGACCTTTTACAATAAGTCAACATTAAATAAGGCTGAAAAATATAAATGGGGTCGTCATGCTGGACACATTTTAATTGTTTTCTTTTGTGTGTGTGTGGTGAGCAAGGACTTGTGGGAATGGAACATTCAGAAAGGATAAAGAAACCAACAGCTGTTAAGTCTGGAATAATCTGGAGTAACATGTTTGTCTAATATTAAAAGGACTCTTAACATAACAGATTGTAAACAGGCCGCCGGCCTGAGTTCTGTTGGCCATGCAGACTTTGAAAAAACCAGACATCTCTTCAAGGCAACTAATGGCTAATGCAGAGCTTTGATGACCTGTTTAGAAAGAGTGTGTATTACTACCAGGGCCTGTGTTGTAGGTTGAATAATGTCTCCCCCAAATATTCACGCCCTAATCCCTAGAACCTGTGAATGTTACTTACTTGGTAAAACAGTTTGCAGATGTGCCCTGGCTGGGTGGTTCAGTGGGTTGGAGCAACGTCCCATACACCAAAAGGTTGCAGGTGTGATCCCCAATCAGGGCACATACCTAGGTTGCGGGCTTCCTGACCTGAAGTAAACATACCCGGGAAACCACTGGTTTTACAAGGAACAAAGTGTTTGTCGCCAGCAACTTGGGGGAAGAGTCTGAGATATACAAAGAAAATCCCGAGGAAGATGTTGAAGGGTAAGGGAAGGCCGGAGCACCGGCAGGACCTAAGGAAGGAAGGAGGGTAAGGGAGGCAGAACTGGAACGAGGGCGGAGAGAAGTCATGGGAGGCTGGGAACCACCGCAGCGCGCAGACGGGTCCCAGACTCGGCGACCCGCTGCCGGGACTGACCGGTGCCCTTACCTGGATGGGGTAGAAATCGCGCGGCAGCACCGACTGCAGGTCGAAGAGCAGGGTGATGGGGACGTGGGAGAGAAAGTAGAAGCCCAGCAGCCACTCCAGGCTGCGCCGGGCGCCCAGAATCCCCATTATCCGTTGGCTGGGCAGGGTTGGGGCCGAGGATGCACTCGCCTGGGCCGCAGACGTGGGAAGAAGGCCTAAGCACTCGCGTGGTTCTGTCTGTCTCCCAGAGCCACGGCCACTCGCCCCGCCCCTCTCGGCTGCTACCTCAGCCGCCCCTATTGGCTGCTGAGGAAGAGCGCGTGTCCATTGGCTCGTCAGAGAATAGCGTGTGAGTCGAGCGGGGGAGGGGCTTCTCATGGCCGAGCAGCGTGTGAGGACGGAGGGGGTGTGCCACGGAGGGCCGCTGCCGGCCCGGCCTTTCACAGCCCACGACTAGGGGCACGGAGCTTAGTGGCGGCTGCTCACCGTGACCGCTTTCCTTCACTCCATTCATTCCCTCTCTCCACTTAGCGCTTACAGAGTGCCTCCAGGGTGCTGGGCCTTGGGCTTTTATGGAGTTGGAGCCCTCAGGGCAGAGGGAGTGTCACAGACCACGGCCTTCCGGGCAGTGAATTGTGATCCGCGCTGTGTGCGACAGTTTTGGACCCTGGGAACACCGAGCAAGGTCTTTGTCCGGCCGGAGTTTAGGGGTTCTGGAAGCCTCCCGAAGCATGCAGAGGAGGCAGCCAGCCTCAACTTAAAAAGATGCAGAACGTTATAGTAGGAGGTAAAATTGACAGGTCTTGGTGATTGGCTGTGGAGAATGAGGGAGTATGAAAGATTCATTTATTCATTCAGCAAATAGTGATCTTTATATTCTGGACCCAGGTCTGCTCTGGGATGGAATGGGTGGGACTGCCTTTCTCAGATAAGAGGGACACAAACTGAGAAGCGAGTTGAAGGGAAGGTATTTTGGTTATGGCCATGTCGACACTGAGCAGTCCCTGCAACATCTGAGTGAAGTCTAGGCATTTGGATGAACTTGTCTGGAGATGAAGATCTGTGAGCATTAGATTTTGGTGGGAGTTGAAATTCTGGTTTCAGAGAGCCTGGAAGAGAACTTAGAGGAGCCCAGCCTCAGGATTCATGGGAGGAGGGAAATGACGTACAAGTGGACAACAGGAGTGTAATGTCAAAAACGGAGACAGAGGTGGGGCCGGCTGTGTCAAGGACACCGAATGGTACCCCCTGGTGGCCCCGTGGCAGCTGTGGCACGGTGGAGGCAGGAGCTAGATGACAGCAGGGCCAGGAGTGAGGAAGTCGGGAAGTGGAGGCAGGGTGAGTAGGCACCTGGTTATGAAGGGGAGAGATGGGGCAGTAGCTGCACCGAGATGTGCTCCAGAGAGAGGACTTACTTATTTTCAGATGAGGGAGACTACAGCACTTTCACTTGCTTAGAGGCTGTTGGAAGTTTCTGGGACAGGGGAGAGGTTGTCCATACAGGAGGAAGAGAGCAGGAAATGCGGCTCCGGGCCCCTGCAAGAAACTGGAGAGAGTGGAAGGGTTAGGTCAGAGGAGCTCTGTGCTCCCCAGGACAGAGAAATTGTTGGCAGGGTGGAGCACCCAGCTGAGCTGGGTGCCTATTAGTCTGGAGGTCCCAATCTCCTAAACTGTGTGCTCTACTCCACTGTGAGGCCTGCTCAGAAGAGGGCTGTTGGACTCATCCAGGTGGGGCTTCATTCAGAAAGACAGTTGTGATTTTGAGGAGTTGAACAGTGATCGAAGAGATGTCAGTTCAAGCTGGATCGGGAGTGAGCAACATGAGGCCCAAAGGGCTGGCAGAATGTGGAGGAATGAATGGATCTGAGGTTGAGGAGGCAGCACTGGTGTGATGGTTGTAAGTGGATGAATGCAGGTTGGGTGATTGAGAAGGGGGTGCAGTGCCTGAGTTCCTGGGGTCAGAAAGAGGTTCTGTCCACAGGAAGGTGTGAGCAAATGGAGTGAAGTTTTTGGAGATGAGGTCAAGGGATAGAGAGCCCAGACTGTCGGGTAGATTGACTGTAAGGACCACTTGGGATGGTGGTGGCAGTCAGGGGGAGAGAAGACTGTCAGCCCATGCCTAAAGTTTTGGGTGTATAAGGGGAGTAGCTGGCAGGAAAGTGGGCATGGGCTGAGGTACGGCTCAAACCTCAGAGAGTGGAGGGGAAATGGGTGGATGTGGTCTGGGGGAGCAGGGAGGCAGGTGACCCCACCTCCTGACCCTGAGCTTGTGGAGCGTGAGAAAATGAACAGCCTGCCCTGGAGAGCGCTGTGGGGAAGCTGAGACCTTGAGCAGAAGGAGCCAGGTGCCAGTTACTACAGAAGGCAAAGGCTGAGGGTGTGGAGAGGCTTGTTAGCTCTGTAGCAGTCGAGGTGGGGCTATGAAGAGGAGAGGGAGTTTACTAGGGAGGACAGTCAGTAGGGTGGAAGGAGAGCGCAGCGGGAGAGGGAGGTGGAGGTTCTTTTGGGGGCACTGAGCAAGAATGAAGGTCATGGGTGGCTGATCATTGTCAGAACACAAAGTTCTGGCATCCCCAGGGCATCTCAGGGGCAGCCTGGCATGCAGCTGTACTCAGGAGGGACCGGGCAACAGTATGTCCCCGCTTCCCTCTGGGATGGCTTTCAGGACATGGCAGTACCTTTAAACTGTGCTGCTTGCTGCAGGGGAGGGGGTGTGGGATTTGCCCAGAGAACGTGGTAAGTGTACAGCTGTTAACGTGGCTGTTCCCCAAAAACATCTCACTCAGCCAAGTTTGTTTTCTGCAGATAAAGATTTTCAAGGCCAAGTACTTTCGGTAGAAGGCCCCTCCATCCAAATTCCTCTAGTGGGGAAACCAAAGCTCTTAATATCATGAAGTCAGATAAGTGGTAGGAGACAAATGGCCCTGGGGTGGAGGACACGGCTAATCAGATTCCTCACTCGAAGCAAGTGTTAAGTGAAAGGATGAGGGAGAAGAGGCAACACAGCACCTTTTGCAAATTATGTATATTGTGATGAGACAAACACCACAAGCCCAACAGACCTGAGCTAGTCCTAGGCCCACTGCTTTCCACTTTGGCAGCAGCTCTACACAGCTTTTACCTCTCCACTTTGCTCTTGCTACACTTTTCTCTCTTTAAAATGCACCCGCCCTTGCCCTGGCCAGGGAGTGTCATCTCGCTACCCAGGGCTGTGTGTTTGCTCCCGGGTCAGGGCACATACAAGAACAACCAATGAATGTATAAACAAGTGGAACAAGTAATTGATGTTTCTCTCTCTCTCAAATATATAAAATATTTAAGATTTAAAAATGCAGCCCTGGGTAGTGTAGCTCAGTGGGTTGAGCGCGAGCCTGCGAACCAAAGAATCAAGGTTTGATTCCCAGTCAGAGCACATTCCTGGATTGCAGGCCAGTTCCCAGCAGGAGACACAGGAGAGGCAACCATACATTGATATTTCTCTCCCTCTCTCCTTCCCTTCCCCTCTAAAGATAAATAAATTTTAAAAAAATGCACCACTCTTCTCATCTCTCCATGCCCCAATCCCTTAAAATGCTCTAAGGCTCAGCTGGAGGCCGCCTCCCCTAATGGCCCTGATTTGGTGGCACTGCTGCCTTCTCTGAACTTCTTCCCTGCCAGGTGATTCCTTTCACTTTGAGCAGCATTGACCTGAGTACCTTTCCTGTTACCCTGGAGGTCCCTTGACAGCAAAGATTGTCTTTGGGATCTTTATTTGACTAACACAGAGCTGGGGCCCCTGTTGAGTGAACTAAATGTGAAAGTCAGGGTCCTCTGCCACATGGAGACTGTCAAGCAGTGAAATTGTGAAGGGAACACTGGGTGTAAGAGCAGCCAGCCAATGGTGAGATGGAGCCAGCCAAGAGGTTCCTGAACAATGACCTCTTGAAATGACCTGGAAACCTGCTGAGACTCTAGAATCAGCAGATGGCTTCATACCTCAAAGCCAGAACATTATACATATATTAATTAGCAAAAGCTAAGATCCTGTCAGTCCCGGAGGTGCAGCAAGGTGGCTGTGTGGGGGTTCAGAATGATCTCTCTCAAGATCTGTGGGTTCCACTGAGGCAGAGGGCAATGGACCAGCTTTCTTGAGTGATTACCTCCTTCTCATGTTAAAGAGCCTGTGAACTTGGGTGGAGGGACAGTAGGTGAGGGTTAATCCCAAAAAACTTAGTTTAAAATTTGGATATTTTGTGGTTCATAGACCTTTTTGCATTTTGATTTTTAGAAATATTGCATGGAGGGACTTCCGCCAAGATGGAGGCATAGGTGGAAGTACTGTACCTTCTCGCACAACCAAGTTTAAAAACAACAGAGTTTTAACAACAAAAACGCAGCCAAACCACAGAAAATTGAACTATATGGAAGTCTGACAACGACGAACCCTTCAGCCAAACTGGTAAGAGGGGCAGAGCCAGTAGCAGAGCAGTAATGGGCAGGAAAGATCCACTGGACCAACCCAGGCGTGTGACCCAGGTGCACCAGCAGCTGTGGGAGGATCCCAGGTGTGGAGTAGCGGGCGGACCCACTGAGGGCGCAAGGTGGTCCCACTGAGGGCTGACCACGGTCACACATTCTTGAGCAGATAAACTGGTGAAGGAGTGAGCAATGAGATGGACTGTGCAGGCCCCAGGGGTGGGAAGCAGCAGAGGGGACCGCTATTGTCCCTCTCTGACCCACCCCCACATACAGTGTCACAAACCAGCATCCTGGGTGGCCCTGCCCTGGTGAATACCTAAGGCTCCGCTCCTCATACCCAACAAGGCACAAACAGATACAAACATGGCTCAAGAACAACTCAGAGCCCCAGAGCCAATAAATCTAAGTGATGAAGAAATAGCCAAACTTTCAGATTCACAGTTCAAAACACTGGTGATCAGGATGCTCACAGAACTGGTTGATTTTAGTCACAAATTAGAGGAACATATAAAGGCGAAACTAATTGAAATGAAGGGAAATGCACAGGAGACCAATAGTAATGGAAAGGAAACTGGGACTCAAATCAAAGGAGTGGACCAGAAGGAGGAAAAAAATGACCAAACAGAAAAGGATGAAGAAACAAGAATTCAAAAAAAATGAAGAGAGGCTTAGGAACCTCCAGGATATCTTTAAACGCTCCAACATCTGAATTATAGGGGTACCAGACGGGGAAGAGGAACAGCCACGAGTGGAAAACTTATTTGAACAAATAATAAAGGAGAACTTCCCCAATCTGGCAAA